AAAAGATAATTTTCTTGAGGAACATATAACGTATCAAGTCTGTTTGAAATTAATGAAACTCGAGTAAAGGTTACTATAGTTTACCCCAGTCGTAATGTTGCTATTCCAACACCTCACGACAAGCAATCCCCATTGGCATAACGGCAAAACATCTCTTCCTTCAAGTAAACAATAAACAGTCTGTTCTTGTTCCATTTATAATCGAAAAAAGTGATCAATTTTCGAATTTTGAGCTTATCGAGAGCCTTTGTGATGAATCACTGACCTAATTATAGAATCCAACAGCAAACAGCCAATCAGAATGCCGCGTTCGTGGGCGAACGCGGAAAGTACAAAATACCGGGCCTTGCTTGCAGGCCCACTATCAAGTTCCCTTCAGCCTGCTCCCTTGGGCCTGCACGCGGGCTAATATATATATATATATATATATATATATATATATATATATATATATATATATATATATATATATATATATATATATATATATATATATATATGTACTATTTAAAGCACGCGTAGCGGAGTGTTTTATATGTGATAAAACACGACTACAAGTGCTTTAAATGGCTTAAAAAACGACTCATCTTATACGAGTTCATTGGCGAAGTAATTTTTAAAATAAACTTTGTCTAAACCGAGAAAATCAAAGCTAAAGTTTATGTAAATTAACATGATTTTTTATCACATATAAAACCACGACACGCTTATGATTTTTCTTTGCGTTTTGCTCCTGACTTATTAATGAGTTTTTTGAATATATATATATAAACCATATTATTGTTCGTGTCATTAAATAAACTGGTTTTAATATTAATAATAACTGATCTAATGAGATTGAAGGCTTCATGTTATCAATCGCAATGCAACTGTGTACCTTTTGAACATTCAGCGTATCCATGCTTTAATTCTCCATGGCTTGATAAGGATTTTGAGCTGAAATATAGAGTATTCCAGATATTCCAGAAAATGTAACTTCAACATGTACCTTCAAAACAAACTTCTTCTTCTGTTTTAGGTTGGCTTTATGATGTCACTGATAACTTTTCCCAGGTTCTTTATGCGGTCAGTGCAGGCGCTGTAACTGCGGGAGTTTTCATTTTAGCTGGCGCTTTGTGGACGCCTGAACCGGATCTGTATAAACAAATGCCGCCCAAAAGTGTGATAGAAACAAATAAACTAAATAAATGTAGCTTAGTTGTATTTGAAAGGGAGACTGTTATTTAAAGGGCATTAGAAATGTAACGTTTAATTACTTTGTCTCCGATTCTCGATTTGCTCTCGATATATATGCATGAATTTCTGTCGTGTATATAAACTTGAAAGCATCCAGAAACGAGCACTACTTACATATGAACAGGCATTATATATCACTGATCTTGAATCTCTTGCACTGAACGACACCATTAATATTCATTCATTTTAATTAATTTAATTTGTTTTTATTGATTTGGTTAGTACCAACACTTTACAAACACACTACAAAATTACAAACTATTTTAAGTATAGAGCGTTAATCCCACTCATTCCCCAGGGACCAACTCAACAAAAGCCATGGCGGCCATGTTGGTGTTCCAGACAAAAGAATCTTTAAAAATTCTTTGAATAGACAACTTGCATGTTAGACAAATTTGTGATTTGGGCAAAAAAAGTAAATTCCCGTAAAGAACTTATTAAAATCAGTAAAATTGCAAAATTTGGTTGCGAAATGTTGTTAAATGCAGAAAATATATATAGCCTTGCGAAGTTTGCAATTTTCAGTCATTTTGTATTACGTGCGAAAATTGTTACCATTTTCGAGCCGAAAATGGTAACAATTTCCGCACGTAATACAAATATACTGAAAATATGCAAACTTCGCAAGGCTATATTTTCTGCATTTTTACTAATTTCACTAATTTTACTAATTTCATTAATTTATTTTTAACTGTTGTGTTTTATTCCCTTCTCTTTACTTAGATTAAAATTTAGTCTAACATGCAAGTTGTCCATTGGAACACCGATATAGCGGCCGTGACGTCATCTGCAAACGCTCTAGATCAGCGTTGGTTACAAGGACGAACCAATTGATATAGTTGATCAGCATGATCACCTGGGCGTTACCCTTACTAATAAATTATCGTGGCGGCCTCATATTCTTAAAATCCATCAAAAGGCTTCAAAAAAACTTAACTTACTTAAACCAATGAAATTTAAGCTAGGAAAAAACCCCCCTTGAAATTCCATATAAATCCGTTGTCCGTTCTTGCTTGGAATATGCGGATGTTGTGTGGGATGGGTGTTGTGATGCTGATCGTGACCTTCTCGAAAGCTTGCAATTTGAGGCAGCCAGGCTCGTAACGGGGGCATTGAAAGGTACTCATAGGGAAAGCCTTCTTAATGAAACAGGTTGGTCTACTTTAAAAGCCAGACGTAATGCTCATAAGTTATTTATGATGTACAAAATTGTAAATAATCTGACCCCTCCGTATCTGTCAGAATTGCGTCCTGATAATGTTAGTTCTAGATCAAATCGTAGTTTACGTGCCAATGATAATCTGATTGTCCCTTTCGCTAGAACCGAACGTTACAAAAAGTCATTTTATATTTCCTCTGTGAATCTTTGGAATAGTCTTTCAGCGACTATTCGTTCTAGTCGTTCAATTGCCATTTTTAAAAACAGTGTGACTCGGCTACACAAGTTCGTAGCTCCCAATCTGCTATATTATATAGGTGATCGTTTACCAGCTATTTTGCATACTCGTTTGAGATTATCTAATAGTACATTAAATTACGATTCATATTTAAAAAATTGTGTTTCTTCCTCTTTTTGTGCATGTGGTTTTCCAAAAGAAACTACAGCTCATTTCGCTTTCGACTGTGATCGATATGCTGCTATTCGGAATACTTTGCTCACTTCTGCTGCTTCTTTACTCGGTGCAGCGTCGTCAGGTGCTGGTAAGGGTACACGTCTTAAGTGGTTACTTTGTGGTGTCGAGAATGTTTCTATTGATACGAATATTAATTTATTCTTAAGTGTCCAAAAATTCATTATTGATTCAGGTCGTTTCACCCGTAGCAGCCCTTGACCAGGTTGCCCAGCGTGTATATATCACGGGATGAAAATATATATTTGCATTGGGCAAATGTATCTGCAAATATGATGCAAATTTCATATTTGATCATCTTTGCCATATTTGCACCCTTGCAAATTTATAAATTCGCACCGTATTTGCAAGGGGTGCGATGGTGCAAATGCCGCGATGACAGGTATATTTGCAGCCACTGCAAATATGATGCGTATTTGTACGTTGGCATGTAGTGCCAATTTATCGTGAATTTGATGCAGATTTCAAATTTGCAATTGAATTCGCCGCAGACCTGATGCAGATGTGTTTTTTTTCAATATTTGCCGTAATGCGAATTTGAAGCATATTCATGGCAAAATTGGTTTATGAAGATCCGTGTCCACTTGATTATTAGGATTAGGATTAGGGTTAGGGTTGTTTCCAAAAATGGCTTGCCAGAATTCGGTCCTCCTTATGCGAAAATTTTCTAGCAACTTTTACGTGAAGGCGAGATGAAAAAAAGCAATACCAAAAAAGTCTTTGAATTTTTCTGATCGTCAGTGATCCACTCGATTCAAACTCATAAGACCAAAGTTTAGAAACCATTCAGGTTTTGTTTAATAACGTAACAATTAATATATATATTTATCATATTTTTAACACACCCTGACCCAAATATACAGATATATAGCCGGAAATACCTAATTAAATCACAAGTATCATACTTAAAATAACTTCGCCGATTGTCAGCGCTGGTATAAAAAGAGCATCTTAAAATTTGCAATTGCAAAGTTTGGTTGCGAAGGGTGGTAAAATGAGGAAAATATATAGCCTTGCAAACCCGGTTTGCAAATTTCCCTCTATATAAGGCTTGAAATGCCTATACCATATTTTAGGCCTTATCAACAAAAGTATACAAAATTTGCGAAGTTTGCAAGGTAAATTTTTCGCATCATTTACAGCATTTTGCAACCAAATTTTGCAATTTTAATAATTTTAGTATGTTCTTTCTGGGAATATACCCTTTTTGCCCAGATCGAAAATTACTGTCTATATATTGCAAATTGTCAATTTATTGACTGATTCAATTGGCATTTAGCTGAACGTACGTGGACAGAAGATTCACGAAATCTACGACGCGGACATGACGAAAAACTAGTACTGCCGCTATTTTGCGTATTCTCCCAGTTTCACTTCACGCGGCCTGGTAAAAATGATGCATAGTTATTGGTAGAGACACGAGAAAAACAAAGTAAAATACTGATTTCCGATTATTAGGGACTGTTACTTTAATCGCGTCGTAGATTTGGCGCATCTTTAGTTCGTTAATATAGATCAAACGAGACGGTAGTCGTCGCAAGCTAAAACTCATAAAACATGAAAAGAAGCATAATATACTTCAACAAAGCGTCACGCGAAATGTGAAATACATTTACATGCGAAATGTGCTTACTTAGTGTCAGAATACAGGGTGTATCAAATTAAACGCAATTCATCTTTTGTGCTTAATAACTTTCGAAATACTATTTCTAGTTAAACGCTTTTAGGCTTACTTCAAAGCCTGTTCTTTTCTCTTTCTAACAAACTATTATCCTTGACTCCAATGCTAGTAATAATTGCACAGGAAAAGATTTAGTAAAACCTATCATTTTTAGTTGCTGTTTAATTATGCAAGTTTACTATGTTATTGTTAATTAGTCGGTGTAAATGTTAGAATTTTCTTCTTTAAACTTTAATGTTGTTGTCACTACATCTGGAAAACCACGTAAGAACAAATTAAAAGTATGTTAAAATTGACCAGATTGTTTGAAAATCCTAAACGAATGCTAAAAATCGTCAAAACATTCTGGTGTCTGAGCCAGAGTGTCATCGAATTGCGATGTAATGTAAAAAGAAATTATGGCAAGTTGATGTCAGTCAGCTTAGATGGTCCAAGCCAAAATTATATCGCATTTGAGGTTTCAAACTGAGTTAAAAATAGTGGAAGAAAAGCCGTAATTATACTTATTGTTACAATCCATTTAATAAAATGCAACATTTTTGTTTTAATGAAAAAATCAGTTATTTTCATGAGAACGATTTGTTATTCCATCTCAATTTTTTTAATCTCCAATCGCAATAACGTAAAG